AAAGGTTTTAGGTAAGCGAGTTGGTTTTTGTATTTTAGAGGCCAAGCTTAATTGTATATGGGCACGTAAAGCTGTGGTTAAAATTATAAATATGCCACGGGACTATTTTCAAATTTTATTTTCTTCAGATGAGGATTATAATCGAGATCTCATGGATGGCCCATTCATGGGGATTTCAACTTGATTCTTCATCTCCATAAGCGTTAGGGCGGTGCTTTGGAGCCTTCCCAGAGAGGTATGCATAACTTCTAGGATATGATTACTGATTGTGAGCTTATTGATGCTGGTTTTCAAGGGTACCCATTTACTTGGAAACGAGGTAACCTTGAGCAATGCTTAGATAGGCTTCTGATTAATCTCCAATGGTGTGTGAGGTTCCAAGAGGCTGTTATTTTTCATCTTCCTCCTTATAAGCCAGATCATATGCCTCTACTAGTTAAAATGTATCCCACTTATGACCACATGACAAAAGAAACAAGTGAATGAAGTATTGTCTCATTCAACTCAAGTAAGCCGACCCATTTCTTAAACTCAGAGTGAGAGTCTTTTTTTATTTCAAAATAGAAATGAAATCCTATGATACTACCAACCTACCTTGTCTAGGTATGCCTCTACCCTTTGTAGATTTGTAGAACCCGATCGACAACCATTGCATTGCAAATATAGAAGTTGCTACTATCGCCTAGTTCAATGCTCTCTATCGTGGCATCACCTGGTGTAGTGCTCCATGTCGTAGCATCTCCTAGTCTACTATCGTCACGTGGTTTTGTACCCCCCATTGAGGCGTCACTTGGTCTGTAGTCATTACGTGATAGAATCAACCAAGGAGGACCATATGTGACACATTGAAGGACCCAAGAAGAATGGGTTAATCATGAAGATTTGATTAGTTAAAAGCCCGATAGGTTTAGTGGGCCCAATTGACTGGTCATGAAAATTAAATGCAATTGATGTTGGAAACCAAAAAGACTATAAGCATTGTGAAAATCGTGTAAAAATATATTGCATAAACAATTAAAAAGTATATGAAATTATATACTTATTTTTTTAAAAATTCTCAATTTTTACCATGTACATAACACTTTTGGTTTGAATTTTATGTGCTTTCAACAATTTTCAAATAACTCAATCAAATGAGACAATTTTCAACCCATGAATTAGTTTAAAAATAATTTTTAAAAAAACTAAATTGACCTAAATTTATGAGATAAAAAACTAAATTAGTTTCAATGAAACAAATTGTTAGTTCAACACAAAGTTGTTGTAACAGTCATCTTTTTTAAAGTTACTATAAAAGGATCAAGCCTTCAAATAATAAAACTAGAATGACACATATAGATCAAAAGCGATAGAAGCAATATACATCAAGAAATTTGTATAAAGAAACATATAGAAATACATAGAGCTAAAAAACTATAAAGAAACATTCTATTGTAAATCTTGTACATATTTCTTTGTAGATTACTTGTGCTTGCATTGTTGATTACATAATGTTTAGAAGAGACGAAACAATTTTTTAATTTTTCACTACCTTGTTTTAAGGGTTGAGCCTAAAGAGGTTTGTGTGAAATAATACTTAGTGTTAAGCCTGTAGAGACTTGGTTGAAAGGATACTTGATGCTAAGCCTGGAGAGGCTTATTGTTCAAAGAATACTTTGGTAGTTGTTTGAAGAGGCAAGTCAAAGACTACTTAGGATTGAGCTAGAAGTGACTTAGTAAATGAATAATTGTAACTTTGTGAAAGTTAGTGGAATTCAATTTGGTTGGATTGAGAACTGGACATAGTCTTGATGGTTGAGACGAACCAATATAAACATCTCTAATGCTTCATCTAACTCTTCACTGGTGCTTTGTCTGATAAGTCATTTTATTTTCACTACACAAACATGTGAGTTTTTGATACATATTATTCAACCCCCTTCTAGTGTGTGCCTTTTCTCCACAAGGTGGCTCTCATACCAATCCACCTTACTCCTCATCTATTCATAACCTTCACTGTCCAAGGCCTCTGCCAAAACCTTCGCAGTAGCAACAATATGCTCAACCACCTCTGCCCGCTTAATTGTCCTAGTAGCAATTGTCTCTATTTCATCCGTTCTCAAAGGAATCATTTTCCCTTGACGGTACCAGAAATAGAGAATATGGAGGATCTCTTCCAATCGAGAAAACCTCCCTAGCCAATAATGATCATTTCTTTCCCATCGACACACACACAATGAAACAAAACTAGGAAAGGAAAAATCAGTGGAGGAAAAAAGGGGTACCCCTAGCTCTAAGAATCACAAGACCACAAGAAGGAATCCCAACAAATGCACAAACGAGAAGAGAGTAAAAACAATTGTGAACAAGAAGGAAAAATGGCGAAGAACGTAAACAATCATGAAAAACCCCTATTTAAAGGAGGGAAAACCCAAAAAGTAACAACCACTTTTCCTCTCTCTACATCGATGACCCATGTTAAAAGATGAAACCTTAATGAGTAGCCTAAATCTTACAACCCTTTAAATACTAAATTATATATAAAAAAAAGCATATCATTGGTTATTTAAACAAGTTTGAAGTTGTCAAAACATGATCCACCGACTCCTGCACCTAACCAACCATCTTGCCAACAAGAGCTCAACATCCTTAGAGCAAAAAAGTAATCTCACTCATAACTTCTTTGCTCTAAAGAGCTTGGAGCTTAGAGGGCTTATGTATTGTCCAGCTCAATCAAGCTGAGTTGACCTTGTGTTCAACTTGGTCACACTGAGCTAGACATAAGCTTGCATGTATTAGGCCCCTAGTCCATCAACACCACAAAACGAAACCCTGTGCAATTCATCCACAATGACTATGAGAGTATCTTCACACCAAATATCTCTTAGATTCCAAAATCACATTATCAAAGCACAGTATCTCTATTTAACCAACGAGGATTCTTTGAAATCATGCAATAATATCTCCTCACTTAAAGATAACATCAAGAACCTATTTATGTAGCAATATGTATAACTTTAATTCTAATGTCATTCCTAATTTAGACTCTCTTCTAACTTGAACATTAAAGTGTCTTTGCATGTGCCCCAATGTTGGTGTTGGAGTGTAAAGGACACCACCTCTTCCACTAGAGCATATGCAAATTCAGATAACAAAAAAAAATTACTAAAAAAATAAGAGAAATAAAAAACTAAAATATACTTTTTAATTCTTTATTTTAATGTAATTTTTTTAATTAAACTTTCAAATTGTTAATGCTTCTAAAAAAATATTTTAATTGATTTAAGATAGTAATGTGTCAAACAATTGGAAAAATTAATTAATAATATTAAACCCTAAACCCTAAACCCTAAACCCTAAACACTTACTATATTCACATTTTTATGTCTTTGATCCTTTTTGATTTAGCACATATTTTTTCTTTAATCTTCAATAGATTGATTTTTCTTATTTTTTTAAGACTATTATAATTTCATAATTTTTGTGCACGTAAATTTAATGGAATAAGTTTTACACATTAAATCAATAAAAAAATTAAATTAAATTTTATATCTTTTTCTAAATTTTTAGATTTAATTTGGTCATTTATCTATTAAAATGTTCATATTGATTTGTTATTTTTTATATTTAAATCAATTTAATTTTTTTAAAATATTGATCATTTTCAATTTTGCAATGTAATTTAAAATCAAATTTTGTCTGATTGAAGACTTGAAACTTTTAACATTATATTTACCAATATAAAATCCATTAAATGCAATTAATGTTAGAAACGAAAAAAACTATAAATACAGTGAAAAATCATGTAAAAAATATATCTCATATTTAATTAAAAATAATATGAAAATAGATTTTTTTTTGAAATTTTTTATTTTCAATATATCCATAACATTTTTAGTTTGAATTTTAATTTCTTTCAACAATTTTCAATGAATCCAAATAAGATGACTTTCAAATGAAAAATGATACAGAGTCCGAATTCTTCGTTTCGAAATATATTCCAAAAAATTAAAATATTAATTTAAAGTATAAAATATTAAATTAAATAATTATTTTATAATAAATTTATTAAAAAATATTAATATTTTAATATTCGACCGATGATTCGGAGTAGAATTCAGAGGATGTATCTTCACTCCTTTCAAATTGTGAATTAATTAAGAAAAAATTTAAAAAGATTAAAATTGACCTAAATTTAAAAATAAAAGATCAATATAAATATTTTAAAAGATAAAGATGAAAATAAATAAAAAGTAAAATAAAAAACAAAAATATAATTTACCTATGAAAAAATAAGTATTTAAAATCTAATTTAAAAATAAAAATAATAACCATTGTTGAAAATTAACATTAACTAAAATATAAAAGTTAAAAGAATAAAACTAAATTCTTTTAAAAAAGCAAATAATCAAAAGTACATCATAACGTAAAATATAAACAAAGTAAATAAAAAAAAGGAAAACTCTACGGTACCCATGACATGGGTACCGGAACAGTCGGAACAGTCAAATATATATTTTTTAATTTATTGTAATTATTTGTTTTATTTTTATTTTTATTTATTATTTTTAATAATTTATTTTTATAAATTTTTTTATATTTTTAAATTATTTTTATATTTTTTAAATTTTATTTTAATTTATATTATTTATTATTTTTTTTCTTATTTTAATATTTTATAATATTATTATATTTTTTGTTTTTAATTTTTTAATTCTATCATATATAAATAAAATTTATTATAAAAATTAATTTTTTAATTATTTTTTTTGAATTAGTCTTTTTAATTGATTTATTTTTTACAAATTTTTGATCTAAAATTTATGTTATTTTAAATTTATTTTTTAAAATTTATTTGTTCACGATAAAAACACTTCAATTATATCGTAGCAGTTCTCTAAAAAAAAATTATTCTTCGAAATAATACCACATCATTTAGATTCCCCTCACATGTCACACTCCCATTGGATGCAACAAAGCCTCACAATGCCACCCTCCACGTAAGCCTCTATCTTCTTCTGGATAAGAAAAACACCTTCACACTTTCATCAATGCTCCAATGAACAACACCACACAAAAACACTAACCAAGTCCAACTCCCCACCACCATGGCCACCATGTTCTCACCACCACCACCATTACCATCACCATCACCATCACCCATTCTCTCCTCAAAAAAGCCCTCCCAGCCACCATGCAAGCCCTCCCTCCCCCCCTTCAAACAGCCCCTAACAACCTTAACCGCCGCCGTCGCCGCCGCCATCCTCGCCGCTTCCCCGGCGCCCTCCCCGGCGCAGGAGCCGCCCTCGTATCAAGTCTACTACGGGACCGCCGCCAGCGCCGCGAATTACGGCGGGGGGCGGGTACGGCGGGAACTCGAGCAAGAAGGACTCGGCGGAGTACGTGTACGACGTGCCGGCGGGCTGGAAGGAGCGGCTGGTGTCGAAAGTGGAGAAGGGCACGAACGGTACGGACAGCGAGTTCTACAACCCGAAGAAGAAGGCTGAGAAAGAGTACCTCACTTTTCTGGCGGGGTTTCGCCAACTTGCGCCGAAGGAGGTGGTTTTGGGCAACTTGGCTCTGTCCGACGTGGACTTGCAGGACCTGATTGCGAACGCTGAGAGCGTGAGGTCGGAGGAGGTGAGGGACGAGAAGGGGCAGGTGTATTATGTGTATGAGATTGATGGGGTTGGGACTCATAGCTTGATCTCCGTCACTTGTGCTAAGAACAAGCTTTATGCGCATTTTGTCAATGCGCCTACTCCTGAGTGGAATAGGGATGAGGACGTGTTGAGGCATGTTCATGAGTCTTTTAAGACTGTTGGCTCTTTTTAGTTGGCTTCGGACATGAGTCTGAGTCTAACTCAATCTTAAAATATCTGTTTGTAAGGCGAGGATTGATCTGTGGTTATGAACTTCAATGCGAAATTAGCTTAAAAAATCGATCTGTAAAACGAGGATTGTTCTGTAATTATGAACTTCCCTGTGAAATTAGTTAATGTGGGACTTGGGTTTTTTATCGGATAGTATGTTTTATGTTTTGTGGGAAAGTGAATGGTTATATGATATCTATTATGAGGATGAGGATGAGGATGGTTTTGGATTTTTATAAACGGGATTTTTACTACATGTAAGGATGTTTGGTATAGTTGGATTCAATTTGAGAGATTAAATTTATGATAGGGTTTATTGGGAAAATTGAGAGTAGCTCTCTTTCTAGTCTATGTTTGGTGTGTGGTTTGTGGTTGAATTGAATATGCAAGTGTTCTTGGTTCTTTGTTGCTTAAAAACTCAGGTTTTGATGTTTTTGGACTTTTGATGGAAAATGTTTGGAGTTTTCAAAATATTTTGTTTTTCATAAAAAATTCAATTTGTGATTTCTGATGCGGAATTGTGACTAGAGGAATTTTGGGTAGGCTGATGAAAAGGCTGGAATTACAAATATTTATTCCTCTCGAACTGGGTGAAGTTTATCTGTTCTATGCAGAATTGGCTTCATGTGAAACTTTCAGATCAGGAATCCCCCATGTGGAATTTGCGTTTCGGTTAGAATTTGCGTTTCTAGATATAAATTTTGTGTGGTTTGTTGTTGAATCTAGTATGTTATAGACTTCTAGTATGTGTTAATGTGTTATGCTTTTTAGGAGCTTTAAAAATCTTGAGCTGAGTTGTGGCAGTTTCCGTAAGTTTTTGGAGATGTTTTCATCAAATTTCAATTTCTGATATCTAAATTAGAGTTATGATCAACGAAATTCTGAGTAGGCTGATGAAATGGCTGGGACAAGAAGCATTCCTCTATGTGTTGACAGTTTCACTTCCATGATCCTTTTGATCACTAATGTTTATAGCCCGAATTGGAATCTCAATACAATATGGATGGTTACTCGGTAGCAGCTAAATTAAACCAGTTTACTTGCAATATTCAAGGTTAATTGACTAAAAAGACTAGGAAGATTTCTTGTTATCAACCAAATTCTCTTAATATTGGATGCACTTATTTGAGATAAAGCTTAATTTCTGGTACATGATCTTGATGTTGTTTGATTCATAATGAACATGTCTTTACTAACCAGATATAGCAATGTCGTGGACTGAAAAATCATGACGAGTTAAAGCAGAAAAAAGATGAAATCAAAAGAAAATTTCCTTAATAAAGTTAAACACATTCTTACTTATCCTACAAATGAGGTTCACGATAAGTTGGGAAGGTATCCATTTGTATATTAAATGAAGTATCTGTTTATTTTTAAGTTGGGTAAAATTGATTTTGTTTTGTTAGTTACCAAATCTCCTGATATACAAGCTAAGAAATCAATAATAGAACTTGTCTTTTTTTTTTTTTTTTTTTTTGACAATCATATTGGGAATAAATCTCACTTTCCATTCCTCTTCAGCATTTGCTTAAATGTAATTAGAATGTGTATTCAAATTAATATCGATTACAAATTTTACATAGAATTTGTGCAAGGTGTATGAATTGATTTGTAATATAAACAAATAGGCCTAAGCCACTATATGCCAATCCTGAGGTTTGGGCAGAAGCAAAATTCCTCTGCCTTTTTTAAACATTTGGCTTACATATGAAATGAGGTTTCCTTGCTTTGAATTCAGCAACTCTTATCATTGACCCTTTAAACGTCCATTCTATTCAATTTAAATTGCTCGAATAAATAAACTTTTATGACCAAAGTTCAAATATTGATCTGACAATAGATTTTGTTGGGAAACACATTATAATAACAAACTCTGTCAATCATTTTTTGTTCACTGCTTATCACCTTGGTTAGACTTCTGCTAATGAAATGAATTGAATAAAATAAGAAAGAATGACTTTACCAAAACTTGGCCTCAAAAGTAGGAAATTCTTAATACTACATCACTTTAGCTAAAACCAAGCTCTGCCAAGTCTTGCTTTGCCATGCCATCAAATTCCGGCAAAATGCCAATTGTATAGTTCATGAACAGGCTATAACAAAACCCTAGTAAAAACAAACCTAAGATAAACCATATATACAAAAAAAAAATAAGACATTTCTTTTGGTGCAAGTTTTGTTTTAGGGGTACCAAAACTCTTTGTAACTATAGGACCACATAAACGATGACATATGTTAATTTTGTCAGAACTTTTATTTTTTAAGAATTTTTTAATATTTACTATTTAACTCTTATTAATTTATAACATTTTAAATAATAATCCTCGGCCTATTTAAATATATTTTATCTTCTTCATTTTTTTATTTATTTCATTTTCATTTTTTCTCTTTCTGCTCACCTCCCACCTGTTTCATTTTCATTTTTTCTCTTTCTGCTCACCTCCCATCCAGTGCTCTAAAACCTACTTTCCCTGTCAAAAGCTCCATCAAAGACGGTAACTATACCGAGCAAATTTTATCAGCCCTAGAATTTTCTTATCCCTAGTACCCTTTTCGAGGGAATTCATTACAACGTTTGGATCCACGCGGTCCAAAATCTCGCTCGAATCCCCTTTGAGGAACCACAAGTAACCGACGAAGTTGCTCCGGATGGTGCGAATAACAGTGTGGGCGTTTCGACCGGGTCGAAACGCGTGCGATTTAGGGGAGAAGCATGGTTCGAAGAAGGGTTCGAGGATCATTAAGAGAACCTCCTGAACGGCGCGGTCTTGGAAGTAGGGCTCGTTGGATTGGAGAATGTTTTGGAGTTTGCATTTGGAGAGGGGCTTGGAAACGGTAGTGTCGTTGGGGGCGCGGAGGAGAGGGTTTGTTTTGTCGTTTCAGATGAAACGAGCACGGAGGACAACATTGCGGAGGGAGAGGAGGTTGCGGAGGAGGGGAGCGTGGATGGCGTTGCGCGGAGGGAAGGTGCCGGTGGCGTGGGCACAGGAGCGTTGGTAGGCGAAGATCCAGAGGTCAAAGTTTGAGAGGAAGCCGGTGAGGTTGGGGAAGGAGGTGATTTTGGGGGAGGAGAAGGTCTTGACCCAAAGAGAACTGCATATTTGGATTGGGTCTTGTTTCATTAGGCTGTGAGGGTTATTATTTAAAATATTATAAATTAATAAAGGTTAAATAATAAATATTAAAAAATTATTAAAAAATAAAAGTTCTGATAAAATTAACACATGTCAACTTTTATGTGGTTTTAGTCATAAAGGGTTTTGGTACTCCCTAAACAAAACTTGCACCAAAGGAAATGCCAAAAAAATAATATCAACAACATAATATATCATTCTTTCACAATGAATAAGGGAATAGATAAGGGTTTCCACTTAGAATCGCCAAGTTCTTAACAAATTTGATTAAGATTGTTATTTTGGATCATATTAGAGGAGATTTCATCATTCCATAAAACCGTTGAATAAAATTAGATAAAATGGAATTTTAAGCCGTTGGAATACCATCTTGTTTAGTACTTATCCAAATAGAGCAACTAAAATAGATTCTTAGATTACGTAAGTAGACGACTTAAAATGGGACAAAATGGTACATGAGTTCTTGTGAATAATCAATTTTATCCAGATCCACCAAAATAATGAAATGGATGTTTATTATGAAGCGGAGGAGCTCCCAAAGTATGGAGGCAACACCATATGACAACACGGAAGCTTGAAGCCCAAACAGGTTGATTTTAGTAGCCCAGAACGGGCTGTTCCAAAATTGGAACGGGCTGTTCCAAAGTCGGAACGGGCCGTTCTTAAATTGGAACGGGCCAAAACGGGCCGTTCTAGTACAGTTCACTATGGGAAACGTTTGACCCGTACCGCCTTTAGAACGGGCCGTTCTCCATCTAGAACAACCCGTTTCAATGCAATTCACTATGGGAAACGTTCAAATGGGGAATGGGCCATTTCGCCTTTAGAACGGGGTGTTCCACCTTTAGAACGGACCGTTCCAGATTTAAATGTAACTCATAATTGAATGATCCAAAACGGGCCATTCCGAATCTGGAACGGGCCGTTCTGGTCAGGTCTGACGTCTATAAATAGCGAACTCGAGCATTGTTGTCGGGGCAAATTTTTTTTATATCGAGAACTCCCTATAACTCGAAATTTCTCTCTCTTCCTCACTCTTTGTATTTCTTGAGATCTGTGAGGCATCTGTGTAGTGTGAAAAGTAGCCAAAAAGCACCTAATAGATCCTCGTCTTTCAAGATTCAACGGTATCATATTCTTTTCTTGACTCTATTTTTTTTTACTTGTTGAAAATAACTACATGTACATAGTGAATATGATTTGTTATCTTCAAAGTTATCGTGTAGAAAGTATTTAATATACAACAAATAACAACGTCGATTGAATAACATTTTTATCTTCGACGTTACTTGATTTCAAGGGTTCAATGATTAGTCATTTGCTAACTTAAATTCTTATACAAGTTCCTCTTTTTTTAAAAAAATAAATAAATAAAAAAGGTTTATTTCACATATAAATTATCTTCTTGTATGCAACGATTTATGATGTTAATTGAGTAGCGTTTCTACCTTTAATATCATGTAAATCGTAAAAGCTTATAGAATAGTCATTTGCTATCCTAAGCTTTTATGCACAAGATAAATTAAAAGTTATCATTTTATGAAAACAAAAATGATTATCAATAACATGAATTGAATAACAATTCTATCTTTAATGTTAATGTTAGGGTTTATTAATTAGCCATTTGCTAACCCCAAATCCCTATGATTTTCTAATAAAAATACAAAAGAAACATTTCTCACATTTAAAAAAAAAATATATATATATATATACACACATTTCTGAGGAGTAAATTAAATATTTATAAATTTATATAATTTTGCGCAATTAATTAAAGATACTGTATTTTTACAGGCGTCGTAGGGTGCTAATATCTTCCCTACATGTAATTGACTTTCGAACCCAATTTTGATTTTAAAGATTATTTTTAAAGGGTTTTCCAATGTTTTTTACTTAATATAAAATATTGGTGGCGACTCCTCCATTGAAAAATGTTTGCGTCATCCCGTCGTGATTCCGGTTACGACAATCTATTTTATGTTTTCTATTTGTTGCATTTTTAAATATTGAAGGATTAATTGCACTTTTGATCTCTTTAGTATTGCAATTGTAAGAGTTTAGTCTCTAAGATTTTAATTAAATAATTTTAGTTTATCAAATATTGCAATTATGTGATTTTTGTCCTTCAAATTTTAATTAAACAATTTCAATCCCTTAAATATTATAATTGTACGATTTTAGTTCTTAAAGTATCATAATTATGCAATTTTTTAATTATTTAAGTTACATATTGTTCTAATATGCCTAAAAGTTTCACATTGCTTACTAATTGAGGTTAAGTTTAGTTTACGAATTTTGAGTAGTGTAATTCAAATGTATGATCTATATTTATAGTTTGTATGTTTAGTCTATACATATAAAATGTTGAAAGTTTAGTTTGTACATATAGTTTGTAGGTATCATATGTATACCTTAGTTTGTCAGTGTTATATATTTGTATCATCTATTAATGTACTCTATAAATATGTGTTTGTATTACCACTCTAAATAAGAGATGAGTAATCACGTGTAATACAAGTGCAAGAATAAAGTTTTTCTCTACTCAGTTTTCACTCTATGTTATTTATTATGAGTGTGTATTTATGTGGGCTTTTCAGCCACAATAAATTAAAAAAAAATTAATTAAAAAACTAATTACCAAAATGAGTTGTTTTTGCCAAGTAGGAGAGAGAGGATGCAAAAAAAGTCATTACATGTGATGTTTTCTTTAGACAAGTTACCTCCATTCATGTTGCGTTTTATGTTGTGCATGACATGCATGTATAAAAGAAAACATCACCACGGTGGATGTTTTCTTTACAAATTTCTTCAGATAGAAGACGTCACCATGCTAAACATCTTGTAGCACAAGCATTGGTACGAATCTTCCCTAGCGGACAAAGCCTCCATAATCCACACCTACCAAATAGTCTTTCACGGATTCTCAGCAAGTCTCTCCCATGCTGAGGCACCCAAGCTGCAATCACTCTCCCACGTCATAACTCTCATACCTGAGCAGCTGTGCCACCTCCACACCACGTGCTCCCCTCACTTCCTCGGCCTCAACATCACCGACATCGCCAGCTTACTCAAGGAGACTGACTTGGCTTCGATATCGTCATCAGAGTCATCGACACCGTCATGTCCTCTAAGAGCCAGAGCTTCCACGATCATGATCTCGGCCTCTCTCCCCCCAATTAGAAGGGCTAGTGCATTGCTGGAGAATACTTCCCTCCCACCTCAGGCAACCGCAAGCTCATCGGAGCCTGCTACTTCTACGCCGACTACGAAGCCACCAACAACAAAATGAACAGCACCCTTGAGTATTGCTCCCCCAGAGACTCCGACGGCCATGACACCCACACCGCCTCCATCACCGTCAGAAGATACGTCTTCCCAACCTCCATCATGGGCTATGCCAAAGGAATGGCTGCTTGGATGGCTCCCAAGGCTCGCCTCACCGTCTATAAGGTCTATTGGAATGCTGGCTGCTTGACTTTGACATCCTGGCCGCATTCGACGCCATTGTGGCCGACACTGTGGACGTGATCTCCCTCAGCGTGGGGGGTGTGGTGGTGTGTGGTGGACGTGATCCCAAGATTTGTAATTCTCAATAATTATGATTTTTGGGTATGAAAAAACCTCTCCCCTACCAAATGCCCCCTTAAAGTGATTTTTATAAGAGTATCATATACTCTCACCTATTTTTTTCAAATTTCACTTGTCGAGAATTCACTTTCATTTATTGAAAAAAATGGACTTACACTAACTTTTGAAATTTTGTATAACGTGATAAAATATATATCCTTTTTCATAATATAATATATATTAATACTATGATAATTCTTAAATTAGTAAATTCAATTTTTTTAATAAAAAAGCATGCATAAAACTTACAAACTTTATATATAGACAATAAATATCACAATAAAATAGATCATGTCTATGGACACATAAATATATCATATCATGACATTTAGCTTATAATATTAATAAATTATTTCTTCATTGTGAAATAACTCTTTTGTTACATTGTCTAGGATGTTATGGCTATTGTCAAATATTTAATTTATATATTAATTTATGAATTAATCCTTTATCATAATTTACATTATAAATATTTGTAGATTAAGTTATTGTAAAGATTAAACATTAACATTCATTATTGATAATATGATATTGATGTAAATAAAGTATAAACCTATGAATATAAGGGAATAAAATTTGCAAGTGAGATAAAACTTTACTCAATTAGATTCATCATATAATAACCTAACAAAATTATCAAATTATGCTCTTTTCTTAATCAATGTGGGTAAATTGAGAAATATAATTTGATATTTTATCCAAATTAATTATACAAACATAACAATAATTCATGTGGAATAAAACTTAAGTATAATCAATTACAATATTATGTTTAATTCTTTATAAAATTTTAAACAACAAAATATATAACTTCAATTAATTAAAAATGTTATGCCTAATCAATAATAAATTAAAATTATAAGAATCTCTAGACAAATTTTTTGTTTTTTAAGTTCTTAGTAATAAAAAACTAACATGATCTTAGAAACTTTATCACAATCATATTGATTTGAGATACATTATTTGGAAACAAAATATGCACCAACTAAAATATATGATACCTTAGATGATGGAATCATGCTTTGGAGTGCAAGAGGTGACATATTGCTATGAGGTATTTCAATCAATCTTCTTCTCTCTCTTATATTTCTTATTTTTGATGAGTATTGTTATAATAAACGCAATCATGTAGATATTTCAGAGTCAATTGCTTAATTTAAATTTCAAGCATGTAAATAGTTATTAATAAAAAGGGATTTAATATTTTTATTTTTATTATTTTTAATTTTAACTTCATCATAGGGTACCAATTAAGGGCGTTGTAGAGGTGCTTAATACCTTCCCTACACGTAATTGATAGAGAGAAATTGAAGAGAATTT